GTTGGGGGGGGGGGGTGTGTTGTGTTTTCTGGAAAAATATGAAGCTGTTTCTGTCTGGTTTTGAGGCAAGGACCTTTTGAGAGTGGGGCAAACGTGTGACTGAGTGTGCAAAGCCCTGGCAGGCAGCGGGTCATCTCCATTCTTCGGGGTGATGTTCCACAAGCCGTCGAGTGCCAAGCAGAGAACATGGTCTAAAGCGAAGCGTTTTTGGGGTCTGGGCTGTGGGGAGCAGGATGGGAAAGGGGTGCATTTCACAGAGGGGTTTGTGAGCACCCAGAGAGGGAGCTGGGGTTCAACGTATTGCAGAAATGGTGCAAAGATCCCAAATCACTGTGTTTCTGTAGTGTAGTGGTTATCACGTTCGCCTCACACGCGAAAGGTCCTCGGTTCGAAACCGAGCAGAAACATGGCTTTTTGGGGTTTTTCCCTCCCTGTCTTGCAAATTTTAAAGGAATGGGGTCATTCTGTGTGGGGCTGGTGGCATCGGAGTGTCGTTTACCTCTGGTTTGGTCAAGTGGAGATGGGGCCTTGGCCCTGCCCCTTGGAAAGCGATGTCTGGAGACTCCTCCTCGTTTTGGGGGTATGTCTGTGGAAGGCATCTTGATGTTGCGTTTTGTGCCTTAAACATCAGTTTTAGTTGTGGGATTCCCTCTGGGTGTTGCAAGTTTCCCTTGTTTGTGCGCATTGCTTTGATGACCGTCAAAGAGATTGTGAAGAAGGGTGTCGCGGAGAGGACCTGTCAAAGGGTGAGGGTGACTTTTGTGTTTGCTGTTTTTGTAAGATGAAGGTAAAGAAAAGAAGAGTGAGAATAAAGCATAAAAGGGGAAATGGATGTGGGAAGCCTCAGTGGGAATGGGAGAGATTCCTTGAAAGAAGCTTCGTTGTGAATTCCGGGAAATATGAGCCCCAGGGGAGGTACTTTCAGGTTTCTGTAGTGTAGTGGTTATCACGTTCGCCTAACACGCGAAAGGTCCCTGGTTCGAAACCAGGCAGAAACACAGATTTTTAGGGCTTTTTTTCCCCCCTCCTTCACCTTTTCCCACCTCTCTCTGCAATGTGCTTACACAGGACACCCATGTGCTCATTGATATTTATTTTGGCCGTTATTTTGGGGTGGTTTTGAGCCTGAGACCAGCGGAGGGTGTGGGATGACAGTTTCATCCCAGCACGTCTTTTATATCCATAATTTTCGGCATTTGCTTTCCACATGGATAGAGAGGAATAATTTGCATTTACACCCTGCTGCTTCATCAGATCTCATCTTTTTCCATCACCCATTCAGACAGAGATAAAGAAGACTCTGTACTGTCGCATCCTGAGCTCACACAGAGGGATACTGCCATGCCCGTGGGGACCAGCAGCTCTTCTTCCTAAAGTGAAAAGACCAGCTGCCCAACTGAAGGCACTAATGAACATTAATTAACAACCCTGAACAGCCCCAGCTGGGACCCCCACCCATGGCCCAGGGGCTCTATTTAAGCTCAGTCCCAGAGGTTTTTGCCTTTTTGCAAGCTTGCCTTGTAGGGGTATTCATGCATAGCCATGGATGCTGCTGGTTCACCCCATGGGCTGCATTCCCAGCTTGCCTCCTGTCCACACGCAGCCTTCCCCGCTGCCCTCACTCAGGTACTGTGGGACAGACCCTGAATAGAGAGGCCAGGGTGGGAGTTATCTGGCATTGAGGGTTATATGCCAAGGGGGTAGAGTTTTTCTGCTACATGACAATGAATAACTTGGTGCTGTCCCTGCATGATATTGGTTTCATTCCTGGGATGCTGCTGTTTCTTTAAGTACTACTTAAATATTCCTCAACTCTTCTTCTTGTGTCTTTACTCTCCCATCCAGCTCCTCTCTTGTCCAGGTTGAATTTCTTCCCATGCTTGTCTTGTGGCTCAGCTCCATTCCTGGATGTTGTACCCAAAGAGATGATTCTGCTATGCTCAGAGCCAAGTAATGAGTTTGTTCCCTTCCCCCCAACACATTTTGCACTTGTTCATCCCACGAATGAGCTGGAAAAAATAAGACTGTGTGGAGGGGGAGACTTTGCAGTCATGCATTCCTGATTCTGGATGGAATTATTTGTTCTTGGGCCATGACCTAGAAGAGTGGCCAAAATCTCAGGCTCCACATTCAATTAAAGTCTCTGGAGCACAACCCGCTGTCGTTAAATCTGGGCTTTCCCTTCCTTGCTGCATCTCCGCTGACCTACATCGCCATGTAGCTTTTGTTAACACTCTTTGTTGTTCATATTTCCATTCTTCCAGAAACTCAGATATAAAGAACCTGGCAAGGGAGACTGCAGCACTTTTTCTGTGGAACTGTTTTCATCCTCCTTGAGTCTTAATTCTATTCCACCTGCAGATATGCGCCGATATGTTACATGTAGCGTGGTATGTTAAGAGGTGAAGTGAATCTCTTCTGAAAATGGAGACTTCCCTGTAAAATTAGGAGACCTGTGTGCAGTAGTTGGAGGAGGAGACAGCCTGTGTAATGACTGAACTGTGTTCAAACATGGGAAAAATGCCCCAAAATCAGTAAATGATCCGAAATTCTCACAAATCCCAAGGATCAGATGGATCCCCTTGCAGCAACATCATCATCCACAGCTCTGTGTATTTTTTATAGAGTTACTGAGATGCCAGTAATCTGCTCTTTTTCACCCTTATATCGCACCCGAGAAATGGAGGAACTTGTGGCTTCTGGGGTGTTTTCCACCCAGTTGAATGCACTGAGATGAATCCAGCAGCTGGAAAGTTGGGAAGCCCTTCCATTTCTGATGGGAGCAGCCAGCAACCCCATGTGTTTGGGGACAGGGTGTCTCCAGGAGAAGGAGGGGAAAAAAAGTCATTTGGTGGCTGCAAGACCTTTCTGGGGTAACTTGTGGACACCCAGGTGTTGGAGAAGCCACCAAGAAGGGCAGAAGAGAAAGTCGAGGTCCTGTTGGCTTGGGAGGATGTCACCATTTAGCTGCTAAAGGAAAGGAGGAGGAAAACACGCA